AATTATAGGAGTTCTTTATATATTCTAGATAATAACACCATATATGACTTGCAAATATTTCTTACCATTCTATATGTTGCTTTTCCACTATTTTCTTTTGATGTACAAAAGTGCTTTGTGGTTTTATGGAGGATGGAATTTATTTTTATTTATTTATTTAATTTTTTTCCCAGTACCGGGATTGAACTCAGGAGCACTCAACTACTGAGCCACATTCCCAGCCCTATTTTCTATTTTATTTAGAAACAGGATCTCACTGAGTTGCTTAGCTCCTTGCTTTTGCTGAAACTGGCTTTGAACTAGAGATGCTCCTGCCTCCACCTCCTCAGATGTTGGGATTACAGATGTGTGCTGCTGTGCTCATCTAATCATTTTTTTAATGTTTGCTGGATCAATAATCCATTGTCGTCTTTTCATTTATTTGTTTGTTTGTTTGTTTGTTTTTATGTGGTGCTGAGAAACAAACCCAGGGCTTCACACCTGCAAGGCAAGTGCTCTGTCACTGAGCTACAGCCCCAGTCCAGCATTGTCCTCTTTTATTCCCGAAATTTGCATCTTCTTTTTCTCATGATCATCTAGCCAAGTTTACCAATTGCATGAATTTCTATTACAAATCAGATTTGTTTCAGTAATTTTTCTCTGTTACTTATATTTGATGATTTCTGTTTTTATCTTTATACTTACCTTTTTTTCTTTCTACTTACCTTGTGTTTAATTCTCTCTTTCTTCTCTCTGAAAAAAAATTTAAGATTATGGATTATGAATCTTTCTTTTCTATTAATGTAAACATTTAGGACATTACATTTCCTTTTTTTTTTTAACCAGGAAATAAACCCATGGGCATTTACCACTGAGCCACATCCCTAGCAACCCCCCACCCTTGCATTTCTAAATTGCTTAGGATTCACTAAATTGCTGAGGCTGATCTTGAATTGGAGATCCTCCTGCCTCAGCCTCAGGAGTTGCTGGGATTACAGGCGTGCACCACAACACCTGGCAAGGCTTCATATTTCCTTCTATTCAAGCATAGTCCAAGAGGACTTCCAGTGTCAATGGAAATTATTTTGTGCTATTACTCACATGTGGCTATTGAGCACTTGAATCTAAGAAACAGAATCTTTAATTCATCTTTAAATCTAACTACATATGTCTAACAGTACAGTTCCAAACACTGAATTAATTTAATAATCACACACTTTGTTTCTTTATTTCCACTTTAATTCAGCTCAATCTATTTTCTAATTGCTCTTACATGTTATTTAATTTCTAAATATTTGAGAAATTCCAAGGTTGTCTTCTGGATATTTATTTTCAATTTAATATTTATCACAAAACACATTCTACAATTTTATCTTTTTAAGTACATCAAGACTTCAAGGGCACAATATATAATCTATCTGGTGAATACACCATGCTGAGCACTTGGAAAGAATGTACAGTCTATAGTCATTATGTAAATGTCAGGCACAGTGGCTGATAACTGCTAATCAAATTTTTACGTCTATGTTGATGCTTCTTTAGTTCTATCAATTGCATAGAGAAGAATATTGAA